ATTTTAATTTATATATTAGGAAACTAGAGGGTATTAGCTTTCAAATAATGTATTGCACATGTAATTTGGGCTTATAGTTCCTAATTTGCTTTTCCATTTGGGTATGGAAAATAGGCGATGATTACCCAAATTTAGGTGGTTATTAAGAGGTTAATGTGGGTTAGAAAACTACATCATATGATAAAATAGATAAAATAATCTGTCATGACATTGCATTTCCATAATTTTCATTGGTCAAAAGTAATGTATAAAACTTGAGATAATATAATTTTTGGTCCTCATTAGCTGTAGCTACTGTTTTAATTGAAGTAGTTTAAATATATTCAGTGTAATTAGTCAAAAACTACATAATTTCTAAAAGCCACAATACTGCAGATATGTTTCTATATATTTTTTCTCCCATTGCTGCAGGACCGGATTTCTCAGGGTGAAAAGTGAGGTTTCTCTACAGCTAAACGGCTTATGTTTCCCCTGGAATGCAGTCAGGTTATAAACTGCTGTGCTTTCTGTCACAGTTTGCCAGTTCCAATTAGATTTTTTGCTTTCAGATGTTATGCATGTAGATGTATCAAACCTGCAGCTGAGAGTCTTTTTTTCTTAACCTAAATACAGTATAAAAAAATGTTAAACATGTCTCAGAGGAGCAAACCAAGATACTCGTCTTTAATCATTTTGCCTCTAATTTGAGTTTTATGTTTACAGGGGCATAGACAGTGTGGCTTATCCTCTCCAAAACAGAACACTGAACATAAAATACAAAGTTCCTCATGTACCAAATGTGGCATCTTGGATAATCCCACGTTCTGGTCTTGTTTTTCCTAAATCAGATTTTCTATGATTTAATGGCCGTTACCTAATAGCCAGGTATCTACCTTGGTTTGATTTAATAAGCACTGGTAATGGATCATAAATTCTGTTAATGGAGTGGGGTTCTTTTGTTTCTTATTGCTCAATAATGGCCTCTATCTTTCACTGAGACAAGATAACATAGATGAATTATAAAATAGAAAGGAGGTGCAGAAGTGGATTAATTTATAGCACATGGTTTCTTTTCAGCTTTCCTCAGGAGGAGAACACTTTGAAATTTCACTTACATTTATCTGCTGGTCTTGAGACAAAACGGTCTGTGTGATAAATTAAACTGTAATATTGTTTCTGGACCATTTCCAGACATCTAATGAACTTTCATTCCTAATATAGTCTGAGCTTGCTTTCCTCCATGCAGGAGGGATTTGAATAATTAATGAAGTAGAATGAGAAAGCAGCTGTTTGTGATCGGAAGAAGTTTTTGGTGTGTGAATGAAGAAAACCTCATTGTCTGGTTTAGTTTAGCGCTCACTACTGTCAGCAGGAAA